GCTGGGCAGGTTGAAACAAAGTGTCCAGGTTCTCCACAGTACATACATAGGTTCTCTTTAAACCTCCTTTGCCTCTCTTCGGATGAGAGCCTGGTGTGACCGATCTGCATAGGCTCAACTTCTGAGGGTACTGTGGGAGGAGAGACGTAGTGAGTCTTAGTAGCAGGGACAGAAACAGGAAGATAACGGCTGTTAGATCTAGACTCAACTTCTGAGGGAACTGAGGAAAAAGAGATGTCATTAGTCTTAGCAGCAGGAGCGGAAACAGAAAAGACATGGCCTCTAGATCTGGACTTGGGTCTGGCTCGCAGTCTGTTATCTAAACGGATTGTTAACTTTATTAGTTCTTCCAAAGTTGTAGTTTCATCAAGAGTGGCCAGCTCGTCCTTAATAGAATCATCAAGGGCGTGGAAATAAGCGCTTTTGAGCGCCGATTCGTTCCAACCAAAAGCAGCCGCTTTAACCCGGAAGTCGATAGAGAATTCAGCCACTGTTCTATTACCTTGCTTGAATTCCAACAGTCTGCGGGATTCAGTGGACTTATCTGTGTCTTGATTGAAGACTTGTTTGAATTCCTGAATGAATTCCGCAAAAGTTCAACCAAAACTAGTTTTAGAAGAAAATCTGGCCCATCCTAAGGCTTTTTTGGACAATTGTGACAAAATAAAGGCCATCTTTCTCTTGTCATTAGCAAAACTCAACTGAGAATATTCAAAAATGAGCTAACACTGGAACAAAAATCCTTTGCACTTACTTGGATCGCTGAAAAATCTTTCAGGAAGTGAAGGGCGGAATTCCGAAAACGACGGGCTGGGTTCAGACTTGAGTGGTGGATTAGTATCTTGCCCCGGAAGTTGAACGGTCTCCAATCCAGGTGTAGAGTTCTGAAGATGACTGGCTATTTCCTGTAAGTAGTGATTAGTTTTTGCTTGACGTGTATTTAACTCACGGAGGGCGGTGTCGTGGCTCTGAATGAGGGTTTGTTGCTGCTCCAAGATCCTCCGTAGTGATTCCGCGGGGCTAGTCTGTTGGCCAGAGTGTTCTGTCATGTTCGGATTAATGTGTCTAACCCAGATGCAGAACACTCGGAGGCAGATGAATAAGTTCAAAGATTTATTAATAATAAATGTACAAAGTATGTTCAGATCCAAGAGGGGGCTTGACTGGTCACGAGGGGGTTCACTGCTGAGGAGGACAGAGAGATTAGTGGAGGTCCAGGTCTTTTGCAGGTTGTGAGTGTTCAGGTCTGTACCTGTTCGGAAATGGAGCAGAGCTGCAGAGGGGGGGG